TTTTTTTTTTTTACCAGCCGGATGGCGCCATAGAATAAAACCGAGGGGACAGAAAGAACGCGGTAACGGTGGTCTGAAGCGACGTGTGTTGTACAGCTGGCCTGTCACAGGAACCGCAGGACACGGAGAAATAAAACCCTTGCTGACCGTGAAAGTGAAGGGCCTGGGCACATCTGGTGTTGCATGTAACAGTTGTTCATTGAGATGACTGTTTTAGCGGCTTTAATTACTTGCATCTTGTTTTAATTATCATTTGTGTTGTAAATCACTTTCTTTCAGCTACAGGATTTATGGGAAATTGCAACAGCAGTGGGTTGATAGTTGCCATACTAATTGTAGAGTTTAAGTAAATAAAAACATGCAAGCTGAGATGTTCAGGCAGTCTCTGTGAAGATTTTTCATGCCTTTTGCAAGGTGCCCCGTTCCCTGAAACCTGAGGTTCTTTTCCATGCAGACCTGGCCCATGGTCCTGTTCCTCATTGTGTGCACCAGTGTATCACTAAAAACGAAATGCAAGTTAGAAAGAATGTTATTAATACAAAGCCTAAGGTTCATACAAAACACAAAGCTTCTTGTTTTTTCATTCTCTTTTGTGCAGCACATTTTCAACTCGCTAGCTTGCAATGAAATCTGTTGGTACGCCTCCTCATATGCTGTGAGGGCTCATATTCTGTCTCCTTTCTTTTCCCTTCCTTTGGCCAGCCCCTAAAGTATGTCCCTACGCTCCCTGTGACAGTTCTTTTCCTCCTGTCCCACTCACCTCTCCTGCCTGAGGGCGTGGGCCCCTTCCTGTTCCTTCACAGCCTGAAATAAAACTGAGCTCTGCTCTAATTTTTAACTGCTGCCAAACAAATGGTTACTGCAACATTTTTTGCCGTGTGGGTTTTCTGCAAGTGACACATGTGAGCAGCAGAGTGGGTGTCAGAGCTGAACATGCTGAACATGCAGAAGAGGAGGAGGAGAGGGAGGAGGGGTTTTCATAGGGTCATTCACTCTGAAGTGGGCTTGGGGCATGTACCTCGTGTATTGTGATCAGCATGTGTGAGACAGCAATGCTCCCATCTCCCCATTACACCTGAAAGTAGACTGTCAGCAAACACCTGGGTCACTCCCCCAGGTAGAGCCAGTACATGGCTGGAGCGCACACATGGAACCACAGCTGGAAGGCATTCCTTGTTTCAGCAGTGGTCGCAGCAACCAAGACAGCCCATTCGTCTCTGAAACACTGGTCATGCTCTCAGGCGATGGTGGGTTTTCTCTGTCCATGCCCCCTGGGGACAGCCACTCTCAGCTACCCTGACTGCACTGGCAGCTCTGAAGCCTTTTCATGGCCACATTACTGGGTCGAATTTGCTCTGTAATTAGAGATTCCCTAACACCTCCCCCGTTTTGCAGTACCAGCTCAAAAGTAATTAGTTGAAAGACTATGGGGTGAAAGAAGTCTCAAACAGAAGGAGAACACACAGTAGTATCTCATGCTGTGTCATTTGAGGGTGGTTTTCTGTTACTGGGTAAAGTGGAATGAATGATTCCTAAAATACATAAAAGTCTGACATTTTTAATTGGCTTCAGAATGGCTAAATGTGGTATTTCACAAAACTGCTAGTCATATGCTATGATTCTAAAAACAAGACAATGGATGGAAACACTGTGGAAGGTGGACTCATAACTGTACCTTTCTATTAGAAGATTGTTCTCATTTTCCTTGATTTTCTTAAGCTTTAGCAGTTTGGGCTAAATTTTCTATGCTAGGTGTCTGATCAAGATGTTTAAATACCAGTCAAAATAGTTTTTTACTGTTCCTGAGTTAGACAAAATGCAGTGCTTCGTCAGTGTTAAAATATGCTTGGATGAGATGAAATTTGTACCCTCCACTTTGCTCTTACAAATCTGTAGTTGAATGACATTCAGAAATTCTGTTTTGAAAGGACACTAAAGTGACAATGGCAGGAAGGCTAGGAAGTAGGAGAACAAAAATTGTCCTACTTTAATTTTGTTCCTTCCATACCATATGTGCCATAGCACAGTCTCTAAATTACGTGAGCTATTTTTTTCAGCAGAAGGGAAGAATTCATGTTGAATAGCAGATCAGTTTATTTCTAGAAGTGTAACAGCAAGCCTTTTGAGTCCTGTGGCTGCCTCCCACAACACCCGTATGACTGACAGCAGTAGAGCTTAACCATGGAGGACAAGGAGAGCTCTAAGAGATGCTCACCCATGGGAGGTCATACCAACTTCTCTGAGGTCCAAGCAGTCAGTCATGGGCTGTGACCAGTTATCAGGAAGCAATATGATTTATGAGTATCCCATACAGGCCAGTCTCTGCAGCATCTGCTGCCTCATTTCAGCCTCAAATGAGCATTTGGACTGTAAGCAGATGTTCTCCCTACAAACATCTAACCCAGTGAGAAATGCTAGCTGGCCCTCCTCCAAAACTGACAGTTTCCACAGCTTTGCTAGGCAGAGCTGCTGAAGTAAGCATTACCAATATTAGCAATGAGATGAGTTGCTTAAATACTAGCGTTTTGGTAACTAGGCATTTCACTGAAAGAACAAGTCATTCACACGCCTAGCTCAGCCAACAGATCAGAGGGGCAGTGGTCTTCAACTGGACGTAGCAAATGAGTAGCAAGTGGTAGGTATCTATTCCACCAGCACAGCTGGGGCCTGCCTAGGGAGAACATCTGTCCACAGAAATTACATTAATTGTTCCAGTCACTGAGATACTTTTGGCTGGTCCAGATTAGGCAGCATGCACATTAACTGTCAGCAAAACTGTGGGGATAGTTAACTGCAGAGCAGCAC